TAATTGTTCATATGGAAAAAGGCAGGCGGGTTATGATTATTACATTGCGAATAAACTGTTTCATGTACTCACAATGTAAGCCTACTTTTGCCCATCCCTTAATCTCTAACTTGGTTTTTACAACTTACTGTCATCTCTTTTACCCAATTTCTCTTAGTTTTCTCTATTTTTCTATTTACCTCCAATTTTTCAATTGTTTCTCTACTTGATTATTTAAAAAGACATTTAGATAACAGTAGTAGTATTCTTAAAACTTATAGATTCATAAATACATACTTTTCAAAAGAACAAAAACACAATTGTTAACTCAGTATAAGGTGTGTCTTCTTCCTTTAATATCTTGACTTGGGAAGTAGTTATACAAAAGCTGTAAACTAAAGATTTGTGTACTTTATTTTTTACATGTTATAACTAATTTTTTAAATTGAAGAAAAATCCTTAAATAGAGAAGATTCTTCAGAGAAACAAAGAAGGGAGAGAATCTATCCATCAAATATTCAATGTTTTGCTCAGCAAAGGAAAAGGGCAAAACAACTTATTCTCAGAACAAGCATTATAATCAACAGCATTATAACCTCAAGTCCATTGGGAGAAACGAAAATTTCTGTACCACTGAAGTAAATCAATGCACCTGCTTAAAAAAATAATTAGACAATGAAGTCCCATTCTAACACATCTTAAATATTGAAAAAGAAACTCATGGCTAGAGCAGGAAGTCTCAGACCCTTAACTGCAGAGACCTGGATGCTTAAAGTCACTGGGGGGATAAGAAGGCAGTAAGTGACACTAAACCGGCAGTGCACCCTAGTTGGGGGGGCAGTCACCAGCTTGGACAGTACCAGGTAAGTTGGGGAGCCAGATGACACATGGAGCTGGGAGAAAAGAGGGGCTGTGACTGGCCACAACCCAGATAGCCTCTGGACTGCTCAGAGAGCTGGAAGGTGTGGAAAGCCAGTCGCTTGCTAGGAGCAGCAGGCAGCACCCAACGGGACTTTTCTTTTTTTTTTTTAAATATGTATTTTATTGATTATGCCATTACAGTTGTTCTATTTCCCCCCCTTCTTTCCCCTCCACTCTGCACACCCCTCCCTCACCATCCCCCCTTTAGTTTATGACCATATGTCTCAAGTTCTTTAGATTCTATATTTCCCATACTATTCTTGCCCTCCCCCCTATCTATTTTCTGCCTACCGTCTATGCTACTTATATTCTGTACCTTCTCCCCCCTTCTCCTTCTCCCACTCCCCTGATGCTACCCCTCCATGTGATCTTCATTTCTATGGTTCTGCTTCTGATCTAGCTGTCCTCTTAGTTTACTTTTGTTTTAGGTGTGGTTCTTAATAACTGTGAGCTTGCTGTCCTTTCACTGTTCATATTTTTTATCTTCTTTTTCTTAGAGAAGTCCCTTTAACATTTCATATAATAAGAGCTTGCTGATGATGGACTCCTTGAATTTGATATTATCTGAGAAGCACTTTATCTGTCCTTCCATTCTAAATGAAAGCTTTGCTGGATAAATCAATCTTGGATGTAGGTCTTTGGATTTCATGACTTGGAATACTTCTTTCCAGCCCCTTCTTGCCTGGAAGGTCTCTTTTGAGAAATCAGCTGACAGTCTGATGGGAACTCCTTTGGAGGTGACTGTCCCCTTATCTCTTGCTGCTTCTAGGATTCTCTCCTTCATTTTAATCTTGGCTAATGTAATTATGATGTGCCTTGGTGTGTTTCTTCTTGGTTCCAACTTCTTTGGGACTCTCTGAGCTTTCTGGATTTCCTGGAAGTCTATTGCCTTTGCCAGATTGGGGAAGTTCTCTTTTATTATTTGTTCAAATAAGATTACCATTTGCATTTTTTCTTCCCCTTCTGGTACCCCTATAATTCGGATGTTGGAGCATTTAAAGATGTCCTGGAGGTTCCTTAGCCTCTCCTCATTTTTCTGAATTCTTGTTTCTTCATCTTTTTCTGTTTGGTCATTTTTTTCCTCCTTCTGGTCCACTCCTTTGATTTGAGTCCCAGTTTCCTTTCCATTACTATTGCTTTCCTGTGCCTTTCCCTTCATTTCAAATAGTTTAGCCTTCATATGTTCCTCTAATTTGTGGCTAAAATCAACCAGATCTGTGAGCATCCAGATCACCAGTGTTTTGAACTGTGCATTTGATAGGTTGGCAATTTCTTGTTTGCTTAGATTTATTGGGTCTGCGGCTCTGAATTCTTCTTGAGCCATGTTTTGATCTGTTCATGCCTCTCCTCCTATGAGGAGAGGAACCTTAAGTGTTCACCAGGGTAGGGCGACCCAGGTCGAGGGGTTATGACGCTGTATGTGAGGGTGGGGTCAGAGAGGGAAAACAGCGGTCCCCTCTGCTGCTTCCCGCTGCTGGGGCCTGCCTGGTCTGTCTCACTGCTCGCTCCTTCACCTGGTTTATCTGCATGTGTATGTATGACCGAGATCAGCCTGCCATCTTGTGCCCTCAGTGGGTCCACCCATTGCTACTCCACACCTGGGATTCGTCCTCGGCTGCCTACAGGCCTGGGTCACATGCCTGTGCGGGTCTGGTGGATCTTTCCTTTCGACCCTGCTCTGCTGCCAGCTCTGCCCCTCTTACCGGTTTGGCTGAGTGATTCATTATTGTCGAACTTCAGTATAGTTCAATTTTCTGTGGTTTGGCTGTGTTTTTGTTGTTCAAACTTTGTTGTTTTTAAACTCGGTTGCGCGAGAAGGCACAGTGTTTCCACCTACACTTCCATCTTGGCGGAAGAGGGATGTTTCTTGAAAGACGATCTCAGCAGCTGTGTAGGGGCCTCCTGTGCACAGAGACCTCCCACACGCAGCAGCCAGGCCAGCAAAGAGGGAGGAGTGGAGAACTGGGGCATGATTTGCTCCCACTCAGTGGACCTCACGGACTGCTCGCAGGGGTGCAGGAGGTGGATTATCAGTGCCACTCTGGTGCCAGTGTGCAGAGTGGACAGTGTGGACTGCACGGTGCTCTGAGGGTGTGCGCTGGAAACTGGGCACCTGTGATTACTGGAGCCCAAACTGAATCCCCATCCTTGGGGAACCACAAGAAATGAAAAAAAAAAAAAAAAAGAGCCCAGGCCCCCTCTGCCTGCAGGATCCTGACAACATGCAAAACCAGACTGGCAGGTCTAAAAGCAGGAGGAGGCTTCCCCGCCGCCCCCCCAAGAGTAAGACAGTAAGACCTGGAGCCGTGAGAAAACCAGAGACAGATCCAGAAAGAAGTCAGAAGGTGAACACCAACAGCTGAGACCCATTTCACTTTGCTGTCCTTTGAATGTTGTTTTTAAAAATTTCTCACCTTTTGATTTATTTGGGTTTTGTTTTTATTGTTTGTTTTTTATTCTCCCTTTCATATTGCATTTTAACGTTTCTCCTTTCACTTCACTCATATTCCAAATAACTCACTACTCTCAGTCTTTTACTTTTTATTCTTTTTATTCAGATTATATATTTATCATACTATTGTCATTCCAACTCCCACATAGCACCCTTCCCTAGTCTTAATCCATTTCACCATCTTCCTGAGCTTTATTCCTGTTGGTGTAAACTTTATTTTCTCTCACACTATGCCAAGCTTCTGTCCCTTACTCTCACTGTTTCTCCTCCACTAACCTCACATAAGCACTCTTCTTTCTTAGGTCAGCTCGCGTTCTTTTTCACTTCTAGTAAGTGTCATCTCTTTTTCACCTGTCATAAAAAGTGGCTAGCTGGGTGAAATATCATGGTTATTACTGTACTTTTCCAAAGGATCTCCTATTTGCTCACTACTTATTCATACTTTAAATTCCATAGAATACTCTCCCTCTGACTTACTCCATTTCACCTTCCCCCTGCCCCGTTGAGTAAGGAATTTTATTTCATTGTTTTCTCTATCCCTTTTTTCTTCCCCCCTCTCAACCTGGGCTTTACTCCTTACTTTTATTAACTTGCTTCCCCCATCCTCTCAAAATCATTTTTCTCTATTGCAGACATCTCATATTCACTTTTCACTTTTATACAATATTCTCATTCCTGTTCCACCTTTATTAAACTTCATTCAACTGTCATTGCTATCAATCCAGCTGTGACATTTCTGCAATTTTGCTCCCATTGGTCCAGTTCCTTTTCAATTTTACTTCAAACCCAATAGTAGACTCTTCCCTCGTTTTACCCCATTCTGCCCATTGCCCTTTCATGTTCTTCTTACCTTGAAAGTTTTGCTCTCTTCCTTTTTTCACTTCAGTTCCATCCCAACTCTTATCAATTCTCCTTCACCTTATCAATTCTCCTTCCTCTTACCACATAACATTTTCCCTTATTTTAGTCATCTTCTATTCCCTTTGTCATATCTTATAATACCCACAATCTCTCTTCACCTTTGTTAATCTTAGTTCAATTGCAGCTGAGAATGCTGATGTGATATGGGGCTCTTTTTGCTGGCATAGGTATGGTTATCTAGTAATACTGCTAACTGACACCTGTACGACAGTGTACAAGACAAGGTGGGAGTTTAGGTACAGGGAATAAGAAGAATAGTTGGTAGGGACTAAATAGACAGGAGGAGGTTAAGAATAGTATAGGAAATGGAGAAGCCAAAGAACTTATATGGACCACCCATGGACATGAACTAAGGTGGAGGGAAGGCTGATAGAAGGGGGCTACAGGGAAGAGGGCAATAAATGGGAGAAAAAATGGGACAACTACACCAGTAAAACCAATAAAATACATTCAAAAAATTAAAAAATAAAGTTCTTGTAAATTTGTCAATTTGAGAAATTCAAGCAATTGTTTTAAGGATAATCTGCAAAAATTAGCATTGAATTTAAACATTTTATATATGCTGCATATAGATAACATACATTTAGATATTTGGGCTTAAGAGGAATACATGTTGAGGGTAAAATGGTAAAACTATGCTGACTTTACCTATGCAGAACTCCTTTTGCTCATAGAAATCTAGTTAAAGGAAGAAATGTAATACAGTATGTCAAGGTTAATAGTTTACCTTTGCCATTTTCTCTGCCAATTGCAACCGACCATCAAGTTCTCTCCTGATCTGGGCTGCTTGTTCATCTGCATTATCCAGCTTCAAAAAAAAAAACAAAACAGAAATTACACATGAGATTACCTAATTACAGTGACCTACAGACTAAAGCAAAAACTAAAGGGCTCAACACATTTAAAATAAATTTTATCAGTTACCTACTGAGAAGAGAACAAAATATACTGTTTAATTAGATTGTCAGTCCAATTAAACTTCTTGGGCACACTGTGTTTTCATTCACAAAAAAAGTTCATAAATCTCTAAGGTTAATAATGCATTTTACAAAAAAAAACTAATTATAACAACTCTTTGCCTAACCTATACACAACAACTCTAAACCAAGGAGTCCTCATTTTCTTCACATTATGTTCAGCTGTCATTAAGTTTTTCAACCCTCCTTTCTGTCTTCATAAAGATCAGTCCTAAACATCTCATTTTGTTTCTTTGAATTACCAGAATGCATTTCTGGACTGTGATAAACTGAGTAATGTTTCACTTCTTTGTTTTTTTTAAAATAGTCCCTTCAGTTTTATAACAAGTTTGTATTAGTGCCAAACTTTAAAAGTACTATTTGATTGATTGATATAATTTTCTACCATTTAAGTCTCATTTATGCCTCATTCTAGTACCAACAAACTCATACTGACAAGAAATGCTTCCATTCTTTCACAGACTGACACCGCATTAGAATTTCACTCTTGTTCTAAATTTGACTGAAAGCAAGAAAAGCATGCATGCTATCATCATTTTTAAGGTGTCTTCCATTTACATGGAAAATTACTTCCCCTTCTTCATTGAAATAATCCTCAACTTTTCCTATAACTTCAACTTTCCTCATGATTCCTTTTTCCCCAATTATTCATTCAATCCTCCTTTATGAGTTTTTATAAAAACTGTTAAGCGAAGGCAGACCTCTGAGTCATGCACATTATGGGATGCACTGGAGGTGACAGATGTGAACCAGGCAAGCATTTCTCTGAACTCATTCCTTTCTCTCTCCTATTCCTATCATTTAGAAAAGCCTGAACCAGGCCTATCAATGTGCTGCAGTTGTGGGTTCAATCCCCAATCACGGTACACACCAAGGTTGTGGGTTCAATCCTCAAGGCATGTACAGGAGGCAACCAATCACTATTTCTCTCCTGCGTTAATGTCTGTGTCTATCTGTCTTTCTCTCTCTCCCCCGCCCTTCTCTCTTTCTAAAAATCAATAAACATATCCTGTATCATCAGGTGTGAATTTAAAAGAAAAAATAAAAAGAAAGTATATAGTACACAATACAACCATGCCTTACCAAAGATCCATCTAAAGACTGAATTAGTCCTGAGTGTAACATTAAACATCCAGGAGAGTGCAGATTAATTTGTCCATTTGTTAAAGAACTAACAAACTGAAATGTGACCTTTAAAAACTCCCTTAAAAAGAAAAACATAAGTAGGAGCAAACCAGGTCAAGAGGGTGATGGTGCTGGAATGCACACGGAAAGTAAAGAAAAGGGGAATATGTTCCATTAAGTGGGCACCAATAGTCTGGAGTTTGGTTTGGGAGATGAAGTACTTGGAGGTTCGGGGAAGGGAGATGAGCTGGAGAGAGAGGTATGGCTACTTCATTAGCTAATCTTCATGGCCACCTTAGGCTGTATGGAGTTGGTTTCTACAGCAATGAGAAGTCATTAAAATGTTTTACCTCTTTCTTGAAAAATATCATAAAAAAGAAAAGGAAGGGAATTGCATGGAGCTAAAAAGTTTGGTTAGCTGTCATACAGCTGTTTGGCAATGGGACACAAAACAGGGGTGGGAAATCAGATCAGCAGCCAAAGATAAAATAATGTTTACATTCTCCCCACCCCCCAAAAAGGTTTTAAGCAGATGAGTGACATGGGAAAAAAAGATCATTCTGTCTCCAGCACAAAAGGGAAATCTATTTGTTTCATTTAAAAGAAAGTTCTGGGGTTATATTTCTAAAATATATGTTCCCAAGTTGATTTTAAAAATCAAATCCATTTTAAAACAAGGTTTAAAATAGGGAAGATTTTCTTAAACTAAATCCTTACTGCAAAGGTGTTTCTGTGTCATCTCAAAAACAAACACACATATAAATTAAACTTCATCATAGGTCAGTATCTGTACAAAAAACCCCAAAATATGTTATATATAGGATTCAGTATTATCCATCCACTGTCTCAGGCTGATCCACTGGGGGGGTCTCTGAACACATTTCCTGCAGATGAGGGGGGCTACAGTACTGCCGTGTCATAATAGTGCAATCGTGTTTTGTTCTTTTGCGAAGAAAGTATGTATTTATGAATCTATGTTTTAAGAAGACTACTACTGTTATCTAAGTGCCTTTTAAATAATCGAGTAGAGAAACAGCATGCCTAGTTGCTCAGTTGTTCAAGCCCAAAACCCAGGTAACATCTTTGACCTCTTTCCCTCACAACCCACACCCAACCCAATCTAAAGTCGTGGAGGGTAAAGTCCAGAGTCACATAGTTGAAGAAGACCAGAATTCAGGTACTGTGAGTCCTTGGCCAAGGCTCTTTGTACTTTTTATTGTGGTAGAGTATTTCCCCAGCCACGTCAAGTACCGTGCTTCTCATTTTGCCAGTACAGTGGCACACATAGTCATGGCGAAAGTAATTTTTTTGGTTTTGAACCCTTCAGAAAACTTGACTTTACTGACCACCCTCTTCCTCAAAAAAAAAAAAAAAAAAAAAAGAGAGAGATAGAGAGGAAAACAGAAAAACATGAATGGATGCTTGTAGATGTGAGGCATTTGACTAAAATGGTGGTGACACACCTGTCTCTAGTGCCAGATTTGGGTATGAGACAAAGAAAATGGAGATGTACAGACTCTGGAGCTTGTGGGAGGGGCCAGAGGCAAGTCCACACTCCACAAGGACTTCATTTTAACTTCATTTGTTTTTACTTTAAGTTCCTAATTCAACACATTATGTGATGACAGATTATTTACCTCACAGATGTTCCTTCTGGGCACAGAATATTTTCCAAGTCTTTTAAACAGGTTCATTCAACCCTAACCATAACAGATGCCCAAATGTATCTTTATTCTCTGCAGTGCTTCTACTATCTATTACACAGAGCACTTCACCACTTAATTATCAAAATATTTCATTGGTTTAACAAATATTTAGTACAGAAAATGTCGTTTTATTTTCCTCCTATTCAATGTACACAGATTACTGTTTCCACTCTCAGAATTCTCTAGGCTACAGATTTTTAACCTGGACTTTCGGGAGTCTATAACATTCAGGTTGTGGGAAAAATCTGGTAGAAATATGCATTATTTTCCTTGGGGAATTATTTAAATTTCATAGTTTACCAAAGATTCTCAAAGAGATGCTTAACTCAAAAGAAATAAAGACCCATGATTCTAGGAGACTTTTCGGTGTAGAAGCTTCTCTTCATTCATTCTAAAACAGGCTGTAATGGCTTTTCAACACGAGCCATGAAAAACAGCCAACTCAGACCTACACATCATCAATCCTACCCTTACAGATATTTGGTCAATTCTTTGGAAGGGGACAGTAACACAGAGACTCTCAACAATGTTGACTTGAATGGCCTATGGCTGCTTTACTAACTCTATTTGACTTTTTCTGCACTATCTGTACAGCAAGCACCGTGGCAAGCTTTTCGGTAGCTACAAAAATTGTAGCCTTCCAGAAGTTCACACTTTATCAAGAAAACAGTAAAAATTGTATGTAAAACAGAATATAATTGCCACAAAAAAAGCTACTGATCAGGTATTGTGGGAGTTCAGTGATGGAAGAGATGTTTTTCCTAGGTGACAGTATCAGGATGGATTTGTGAAGCTGAAAATGTTAAAAATGGAGTCTGAGGGGGTAGAGAAAATGTTGACCCGATGAGCTGTCCATTAGTGTTGACTTGCAAATCTCAAACTCTAGGCTCCCCGTGATCATCGTCTCTTGTGTTCTAGGGAAACAGCTCTGAGAAAACAGAAGGTTTCAGAGACTAGCAAATCTCCCTTTGCAAGTGTCCTGGGGAGGACCAAAGCCTGTGTTGGTGGATAACTATCTGACAGTTAAGAACATTTTAAACACAGCACAAAATAACTCTACAAAGTTTGACCCAACAGCTTCATTTCATAACTTGTGATATTATTCTTCCAGTGTTTTAAAAACTATACACATTAACTACTTAAATTCATTAAATCTACTCATATCTTTTTTAAAAAGAGCTTTTAAAAAGAGCTTTAAACAGCACTGTTGGGCATCATTGCCCTCTCTGATTAATCTATTTCCTAGAACCAGAATAACTGCCATTTTATTAATATTGTTGATTCCTAGGAAGAGGGATTAGTGACCATGTTTTTCCATAACGATGCCTTTGTACATGCTAACCCTGGTCATTTGTGCCCTCTTTTCACCCCAAAACAAAATCAATTCATTTTTTTCTCTGAGACCCCATGACATAACTCTTTTCAGAAATATTACATTGTTCTTTCTTATAATATTCATCTTTTATCCTTTATATTTTCTTGTAATATTCATGCTTTATCCTTTTAGCATGAAAAATACAAGTAGATTAGTATTTACACTACTGAAAACTTAGTGTTTTCCCAAGATTAATTCATGTGCTGGTCCACTATATTTATATTATCTATAAACCAAGTGAATCACAAATAATCCATCATAAAAAATAACCTATACAACCTCACATTGACACCAAGAGAACACTCCACCCAACACTTTACCACATAATTTTCTAGTTGCCCAGTGTTTTATTTCGCAGTGCCAAATATTCATAGGTTTTCCAACGTAGCCTTAAAATACCGATGAAAAGTTTTAAGTATTAGCAAATTACTTTATCAATACACCTGTTAATTCTCCATTACCTAAATTACTAATTGTATATCAAAAATTTAGAGCATAACTCCCCTGCTGACTCAGACCATTCCTGTTCTTTCCTGTGCCGTCCCCTCAGTCTCTCAGCCCACAAGCACACGTGGTGGTTGGTCGTTGGTGGTTCCAGACACAGTCATTTCTCCATACTACGTCA